TTGCAGCTTCCGCTATAACAATTTTGAGAAATAGCTGACATTTGTCTCAATGTCGTAAATTATTCGTGACACGCCAGCGCACACTTACATATACACACGCGCTTACAGCCACACACACGCGCACTCTTCGCTCACCTACCGTGCTCTGATATCTTTCCTGCAACAGCAGCGCTTGCTGTCATGCAAAATATTTAAACACACACATATGCGCTCAATCAATTTGTCAGCCATTTGCATGGCCCATACACACACACACCTCATATCTGACTTCTGCTCGGCGTCGCACATCAACCAGCGCTTAATTTAGTTACTCGCCTAGAGCCGGCAACCAGCAACTAAGACCAAATCAAAAACACTGCGAATTCCGTTACAATGTTTTTGTATATGTGTGTGTGTGTGTCTTGCCACGCTTCCCATTTGCGTTGTGTTACATTCTAAGCCTGTCATGCAAATTATATTTTAGTTTTCATGCACGCCATTCGAACGTGACTTTGCCGCTTTTATTGACTTCTGTCGAAATAATTCGCTTCGGCGAGGTTTTTGGGCGCATAAATTGCTTCGTCCCTGCTCGCTAGTTGCCATGGTAGCATTTTGCACGTACATGGCGTGAAATCAATGCTAAATTTATAAAAAAACAAAAATATATTGCATATTTTTGGAAATATTTTGTACGGCTCAATACATTTTTGCATGCACAGTTTGCATAGTTTTGAAATGCTGAAATTTCTCGGTGATATGATAACAAAACTAATCCTGAATTTTAAAAGTGACTTACAAATTTAAAGTAAGGTTTTTCATATCCAAAACATATCGCAGAAAACTGGAAAAATTTTAATTCGTAATTAAATACAATCAAGAAAAATTCTAGTACCTAAAGTACGCTTGAAAAAGTGGACTAATGTAGGAAGGTATGGCATTAATATTGCTAATTTTAGTACTAAAACACACTAAGATGGCTGAATGCTCAGCATGGCGGGAGAATAACATAGACTGTCATGTTGTGAACTTTGTGAAGCCCGACCGAAAACTCTTGTAGTTAAATGTTAGCAATAAGCAAAGTTCGCTGAACCTGAATAGGTGTTTGATATATATTTATGCTATTTCACCTGGATGTCTAGAAGTATGAGATCCAAGATGTGTTTGGCTTGATCTGGCAAAGTCGGAACATTCGACAATGAAGTGTTGAGATGATTCTATTTCATCTTCTTCCAAATAGCTGATACAGCTGGCATCCGATAAGATGTTTAATCGTATGAATGCCGATCGGACAGTGTACAGTTAGAACTTCTACAACCACTGAAAGGGGGACCTTGCTGAGAGCAACGAGCTCCATCGACCTCTTTTGATTTACCCTGCGCCAGAAGGACCTTGCGACTGCACAGCTGCTGGTAGCTGATACACACTTGCTGCGCTGGTCTGTGGCCCAACAGTGCAGTAGTGAGCCACAAGAAGACAACGGAGATCCTACCCGTTCTCATTCCGCAGTTTTCAGACTGAAGTACCTGTTCCAGCAAACTCATTAGGCTTACAGTTTCATGCAATATCGCTGTGGCCAGGCAGCCGTAACTGCTGTCAAATCATAAAATAGCATAATGCTAGAGATAACGAGCAGCTCGCAGTCATCTAAGTACTCAGATTTTCTGAGCCTGAGAGCACCTTTTGCGGTCATATCCCTCGCGGCTGTATCCACCGGTGCTATATGCAATAAGGTCTTCAGCGTCATAGTCGGTGTGGTGTACTGATGAGAGCAGCTCGTTGAACACTTGCCAATTTTTTCGCAAATGTAGTCTTCCCCCATACAAGAATTCTATAGAATATTATAAGCTTGACTACTGTTTCATAGAGCCAATGTACTGCCTTTGGTGAGAGACCCCACCTTTTGTCAATGGCTTACCTGCGGCAATACAGAGCGACCGATGTCTACTTTGCCCTTTCTTCGAAGTTGGGTTGGCACGAGAGCTTTCTGTCTAGGACGAGCCCAAGGTACTTATCTCTGTTAGCAGGCCGAATTTATCAAACTAAATTTTAGCAATATATTAACGCTTAGAAGAAGCTAAATAGCTGAGACAACATAAGCACTCACTAATATTTTCAGCGTTATCTTAACCATAGGAAATTTATAATACCTATGAGAGACGGTGTTAACTGCTTAACCCTTATGTTAGTAACCAACTTTACCGACGTCTTTTAGCAACCGGGTACCAGGGTACCCACGATCTGAGTATTATTATTATTTTGTTTATTTTATTAAACAAAACTTTTTCTAAAAAATGTTTCTTCAAATATTAAGTCAGTGACAATTTAAAGAAAGAAAAAAATAAAAAACATAAAAAATTAGCTTACAAATAGCTTTCTTTTAAGTTAAAAAACGACGATTTGAGAGCTTAAAATGAAATATTGCATTTTTTAAGCTATTCACACAAATATACCGCGGTGGGTACCCGGATACCCGTTTACTAACATAAGGGTTAAGACCGCTTTTGGAAACAAATCAACTTGGACTTAAGCTGACGCAATTCAAAGCTAACGTGGCTGCATTTCCTGCACAGTTTTACAAACCTTGCTAAAAGATCATTTTAAGGTAAGGTCATTGACCAAATTCTAAGCTATTAAATTAGTCGAGTAGCTTGTGAGATACGACACAAAATTGCGTAGGGCCACGTCCACAATACACGTTTGAACTTCATATATGGCATTCCGCCTACAAAGTTTTGGATTTCTGGAGTTTTATTTAGAAAATTAACACAATTGCGGTAATTTATAGAAATCAGATTAATGTGTGGTTATTTTTTCGTAATTATTTATGAAAATCTCTAAAAGTTTATTGTAAGCTTTTTAGAGAATGGAGAAACATAAACTAACCTATCTTCGCACAGCATGTTACTGGAGTATAACTATGTATGTGTGTACATACAAAACTTGGAAATATTTTAAATTATAAGGTAAAAGGTAAATCTTGGGCACTTAGGATTGCATCAAGTGGCTTATTATACACATCTGCATATATCTTTACTAATGTGGTAAATATATTATCAGAATTGCTTACGCGTTAATAAATGTTTACATAATCGTATATATTTTGTAAATATGAGCGCCATAAATTTATCCACAAAAGACCACACACTCCATTTCACATTAAAGATAAAATCGCTTCGTGCCGAAATATGTCGAATTTGCAATTTTTGGTTTGATGTTTGAATAGAAAAAAATTCGATATAGACAATCGAATTGAAGCTGCCACTCTCTCTCTCCCTCTCTCTGTAGTTAAATATACAAGTATAAAACTCCGCCGAAAAAAATTTAAATACAACAAATTATTAATTTATTGCTATTCAATTTTGGTTTTTCTGCTGTATGCTTAAAAATGCATTGAAATGTTGACACTTATCTTTTTAAATAAAGTTAGTTATTTTTTCTCTTTTTTTTGCATATTATGTATTTTTACTAACAAAACTACGCACTATGTTATACGAAGCAATATTAGTAAAATATTATAAAAACAGAATTTCTTGCTCTGCTTTACCTCTCACTTTCAACCTGGTTTTCAACGATTTTCTTCGCTACCTAGCCTTATGATTTGCAAAAACAACTGCTTTCCACCATAATACTATGAAGATTAAGAGAAGGATACGAGCTCACACAAACAATTATTTATCGCTTGTAGTGAAGAAAATCGCTAACAAAACGTTCAAGATTGTTGTATGTTAAGTATTAGTTAATATCCCTACCTATAAAGAGATAACATTGTGGCCCTATAATAATTTCAGATATGTTGTATAAATATTCAACATTTTTAAACCAAGCGTTCGGACTTATTCTTTTTGAAAAAAATGCCATATATATTAATTAAATAAACACGTTCATAGATAACGAAATATAGGTACATACGTAAATATATGTAAATGTGTGAGTTTTTCTGTGCTTAGTAAATTTAAAAAAAAATACCAGTATTTTTGCATGTTTTGTTTTCCATATCAAAACATTCTAAAAATTTGTAATTATTAAAGAAAATATTTCTCTGTAATATTAAAAATATATGCATTTATTTATTGAACACCATGCATTCAATTTTTTGTGCAAAGTATTTATAATTTTTTTTTTTGCTTAGATGTAATATATGTGATGTCTGGCATATAAAGGGTGCTTATGTAAAATCAAATAAAGAAAAATTAATAAAATTCCCTTTAAGTTAGGATAGGTCGTAGGGTTAATCCAAAATCATTGGATATCACTTGGACAGATATAGTTCGTACTTTGTGATTCCTAAAAGTGAATCAGCAGATCCTCTTGGCTCGACAAAGCCTTTCAGCTTACCACAAATTTATTGCGGCGCTTAATATCAATCCCAGTAACTACGGTAAGTTTAGCAATGGTGTGTTTTTCGAGATATTTAAATCTTAGTCAGGCAAAAGCCAGCCAATACTCGCACCAACCTAACGAAGGCTCAGGCCTAATAAGTTCCAAATTCTTGATATTTATAATACTTTACTGGAAAGCTTTTTCACTTACCATACCCGCTTGACCGAAGTGGTCACTCTATAGGCTCCTTTTTGATTTGAGTTGGTTGTGGGGGGCCAAGAAATCGCGAAATGCTTTGCCAGTAGAACTCATTATGAACAGTAACGTTTGTTTCATTTTTTGACCAGCTGCAAGAAAACTTGAATAATTTTTTAGCATTTCTCCCAACACAAATACAGCAGTCTTGCTTATTTACCTAACCGAGTTTTAAATCTGTCAAATTATACACAACATAAATGACAGAAACAGCTGTTGATTTTGAAAGTTCATAAGACAGCTAGCAATGTTCTGCGCCTCTGGCAAATTCTAACTAACTAAAAACACTCTATATTGATTATTATGACATGTAGTTTTGATATGCATTAAAACATAAATATTTATTTACAATCGTAAATGTTCGATTTCAATTGCGACTAAACCAAATTTATTTCTGTATTAATTTCACACAATCTAAATTTACAAACATTCAATTTATTTTGCAGGTTTCATTGGCAAAATCAACAAAAAACACATTCACCGGTTATGGCATCGGCAGCGCCAATATGGATGCTGACATTGTACAATATGACATACCGAAAAACTCTTACAAACGAGCCAATTCGGACATCAATTACGAGGTGATTGTATAGATGTGTATTTACGCATACCAACACATACACACATACATACATACAAACAAACACATCCGGCGGCAGATTTATTTATTTAAATATTTAAATTGGTGCAAATTAGATTTTGCATTAAACATTTGCGCGCTGGTAATCTCAGCGGAGATTTGACGTTAAATTCTGAATTGATTTCCAACTCAATCAATAAATGTCATTTAACTACACATAAATTCTTGAATCGCATGGGGCGATATTTAAACCTGTGTCAGTGAGGGCGAACTTTATAATTTATGCGTTTAAATATTGGACAATTTTTATGAAATATTGATTCATATAATGTGCGAATTGCATTTAAGACAGGGAGAGAATACAAATTGAAAAAGTAAATATAATATAAAATAAATAAAATTATATTATATAAAACCGATAAATATACCATAGTCGAAAGCAACGATTCTATAATAACCTTAACAAAAATAAATGGTTATATAGCAGCTATATGCTATAGTGCTTCGACCTGACCAAATTTCGTAAAGATATCTCGTCAAATGAAAAAGCTTTCCATACAAGCACTTCATTCCGATCGTTCAGTCTGTATGACAGCTATGTCGTATAGTGGTCTGATATCAGCGGATCCGCCAAATAAGAAGCATCTTGGATAGAAAAGGACGAATGCGAAATTTCAGAACGGTATCTCAAAAATTACTCATATATTTTATAAAGTCTCCGACGTTTCCTTCTGGGTGTTACAAACCCCTGTTCAGGGTATCAAAAGCGAGGAAATATAAAATGTTGTTTGCAATTTGAAACAAAAATAATAATAAATATAAAAAAAGTACATTTATATAAAAACCAATAAAATTTAGTTGAAAAAAAACCTAGTTTAAGTAAAAAAGCTTTAAAATACTTTTTATTCAAAAAGTTCTCTGTACTGAGTAGACAATATAGAAACATTTATGCTTTCCGTGTAATTACAATTTGCATTTTTTTTTTTTTTTATAAAAAATAAACATTTGCACCGCAAGCAATATGTTGTAAGCCGCAATATTTGTGCGAAATTTTACAATTTTCTATTTGTAGTTGCAACCAGATTTTAGTGGTAAGCCAGTGAGCGCAAACTGCTAGCATTTAATTGGCACTTAAACTGATACCGCATACCAGTGGTGTTTGGCAAATGTTAGCAATATTGCATGCAACATATTATGAAGCGGAAACAAACATTAAAAATTCATAATAATGCAATATTTCGGAGAGGAGTTTAATTGCCCAACCTCAGCGGAGAAAAATGTATTTCCAGCAGATTTACATAATTAAATTTAAATATTTTACGAGCACATTTAACAAAGCTTTATTAAATCTCAACGTTAATGCATTAACTGTAATTACCGACCACTACAAGTGGATATACTAACAACTGAATAACATATGTTATAGGTACACATGGCATAGGCATGCATAGAATAGGCACAAAAATCAAAAATTTAACGATTTAGTTGCAAAATGTTTTGTTGAAATGTTAAAAATTGTAAAATGTATATTTTATTTACACACTACTAAAATATATTGCACAATAATTTTTTGTTTCAATATTTTAATAGACAGAAATATTGTACAATAATTTTTTGTTCAGATTTTTATACTAGTGAAAACTATTGCATAATAATTTTTTTAATTAAATAAAAATTAAATTTAATTTTGTTACAATCGAAAAATATTGCACAGTAATTTTATAGTTTACATTTAGACCAGAAAGTTACCGGAAATTGTTGGCCTACAGTTAGGGCCGTTTACGACGGATGCTTTCGCGCAAACGCCTCAAAATAATCGTCCGTCTCGTTGGAAAAAAAACAATTTCCGGAAACTCTCTGGTTTCATGGTACAACATGTTGCTACAGAGTATAATGCACGATTTTAAGACCAAAAACTCGTTCAATACCATCGATCAACCACCGTTCTTGTCTCCAAAACTCATGTTACCACTCCTTGGAGCCCGTTTCGACTCGATTGAGGTTGTAAAAGAAAATACTTAGTGGGAACTGAAATACTATTGAAAACTATTGCGCAATATTTTTTTGTTTAGATTTTTATATTACCAAAAATTATGCACAATAATTTTGTTCGCCCAATAATTTCATTATTTATATTTTTTACTAGCGAAAAATATTACATAATAATTTTCTGTTTAGATTTTATGCATTCGAAAAGTATTGCACAATAATTTTTGCTTTATACTTTTATACTAGCGAAAACTATCGCACAATATTTTATTGTTTAGATTTCTATATTACCTAAAAATATTGCACAATAATTTTGTTTCCCCAACGAATAAATCATGGTACATGGATTTTAAGATGGATGTCTGTGCTATGCAATAGCTAGAGTAGAGTTGCGTATGTAGTTTTAAACTTTCTAAAAAGTAGGCGAAGCTCCTTCTTATAATAAGTTTATAATACGTATCTAATAACCTACCAAAGATAACTGAAACAGATCCTTCGAAAGCATGGCCTCAACATGCTTCCGGGTCACTCAGAATATTTTATGAAGTTCTCTCAATTATGCATATTTTTCGAAAAAGTCTGTTATAAAACTTCATCAGCCATAAGAAAACTCAAAAGTCAGACAAAATGAACTTATATTCGGATTAACCAGTGTTCAGATACATTGAAGTGCGTTATCAAGGTAATACGAGTAAAATATTTTGCGAATTAGTTTTGTACTCGTCATACTTTATAACTATATAACTTCGTACTTTATATTATTCAATAAAATAATTTACACATTTTCTTTACTTACAGAGCTCCGTACTGGGATCCGGTGGTATTATGTATATAAATGGTAGAATAGTTTCTGGACCCCTAGAGTCTTTGATAGATGTGCTAGTGCCAAAAAATCGCATAGATTTCGATAAGGTAAGATATTCAACATATTACCATGTACACAGAGTAATAACTATACACAAACCTTGCACTTAGAGATCGAAGCAATAGAAGTGAATCTGAGTACACAGTTTTCTACTGAATTTTGTTTCCCATATTTTATTTCAATATGTGCGTATATTTATACTCATACTATACGCTATATGTGAAAAGAGCCCTATACCATGTGAGGTCTTATATTATATTTACTACAGTGGAAGATACAGGAAGTGATGATGCACGAGAAAAGATCATGTGCTATCATGAATATATAAAAATTTGCCACTTATTTGAAATTTAAAAAAATTTTCCGTCCGTCTTTCTGAATATACGCGAACTAGTGTTTCAGTTTTTGATATATTTCTATGAAAATGTGCAAACGTTGTTTTTCTTTTTATTTTTATGATATTTGTATAAAACAGGTGGCAACCCCATATAATTTAATTTGTAAATATAAATATTTGTGAGAGAACCACAATGTCTAGTTGTGCCTAACTGTTTCACTATTTTTATTTTTAATTTTCAACTAGGTGGCAACCTTGTTTTTTTGCACCTACTCGAATATTGCACCGTACAATGCAAAAAGAAATTTGCAATCGATTTACACTTAAGTGGCGCTCTGCATTTTCCGAGCGTGACGGAATTTTGTTTGTCACACATTTTCGTTGCAGTTGTCAGATTTTATCACCTTACATAAAAAAATTCCATCTCAAAATCGTTGACAGTATAGTATACTTTGTAATATTTTAACTTCCATGAATTTTATTTTATTTATTTTTAACGAAAAGATAACAAACTGTGCCACTTGCAACCGCAACACAAAATTAATTAGTGTGAGTGTATGAGTGCTGCAATTGAGATTGCAAACAAATAAAAACAAATATGCGTTATACAAGAGATACATATTAATAAAGCAACAATGAAATACAAATGAGTTGAGATAAAAAGTGAAATTAAATGGAATTTATATATCACAAATCACACACACTAACATATGCACACACACATACGCACACATATGTAATAATCGCGCTTTTAACACTGTCTGTAGGGCGGATGTTGTTGTTGTTGGTCTGTCAAACTGGGCATGTCCGACCGCAACGCGTCAAACAAGCGTGTAAAGTGAGAACGCTTCGCCGCGATGAAAAGCGGATGTAATTGCATTTCTATGTTTTGCCAGCAAAACCCAAAACCAATAACATTACAATCAATATACAAACACACACAATAAATGCGCTGACAAAGCAACGCCACACACGCACACACATTTCAGCAAACGCGCTTATAAGTGCATTGTTGTTGCCACATGAAGCATAGAAGAATGCGGCTGATAGCAACAGCAACTGGTGAAGAGTCGGCACACTTGCGCCGCGCATCCTTTTTGTGTGTGAGTGCTGGTGTTTGTGCAACACTCAGCATCGATAATTCAACACTGAATTCGCGCTGTGCACTCGACCAGTTTTTACTCGCTTTGACTATTGATTTTTTCCAATTCATTTATTCTTTATTCATGCAATCAAACAATCGAATGTAGTGGTTGCGGTGATGGCGCGCGGGGGCAAAAAACAACAAAACAAAAACAGAAACACTTTTATTAATATTTCGCACAAAAAACGGCGAGCGAAAACAAGTTTTTATAAACATGCAGAGTTTGTTTGGATTAACCCTCGGGTGAGCCCGGTGGCCCGAGCAAGCTGACATAGAAGTTTACTTAAAGCATTGCTCAGCACAACAAAGCAAAACTAATGCAATAATGGCATTAGAAATAATCTAGGAAACTTTAATTATTAAATATTTCAATGCAGAGTTGCCACCCGAAATAAACTGAGATAAATGTTATAAACAAATTATTGAAAATAAAAGCGTTAATAAATATTTCGATGAATACTCGTCGCTTTTAAGTAGGCGTATTTTAGTACGGAGTTGCCACTTATAGATGTAAACTTATATTAAATTAAAATATTAAAATGTATTTAAATATTATGATATAATAAAATATTATAAAACACATGTTTCATATTTGGCCTTAATAAACACTTTCTAAAATTTCTTGGTAAGTTAATTTAAGAATAATTGAGAACAGTGTTACCACCAAAGCATTGAAAATGTTATGAAAATATTATATTAAAAATTGTTTGCTCAAAATAATAGTGTATAAGAAATTCTTTCCACAATATTTTTAATAATTGTAAAATAGAGTTGCCACCAATCGAAGAGTAAAACTTACGCAAATGTTATAAAATTCGAATTAGAAATGCAAGCGTTTAAAAACCACAAAAGAAACAGACACAAGACGTTCATTTAAGCATCACTTGGAACAGAGTTACCACATATCCAAAAAAGTAACATTAGTTAAAATTTATAGAATGCTTGTTAAAAAAATAAACGTCTAAGTAAACCGAAAATAAAACACATTTGAGAACAGAGTTACCACTTAATGTAAATTTCGACATAAACTGAAATTACGTATGCACTCTGTTGCCTTTAAGATAATAAAACATTAATTTTCACGTAAAAAAAAATAAAATCTATATTGAACCGAAAATATTTTGGTAATACTTTATTTTTATGATTTTTTTAATAAAACAGTTGGCAATGCTATATAATTATTTTTGTAATTGTAAAATTTTTAAAAAGAACCAAAATTTCTAGTTGTGCCTAACTGCTTTAATTGTTTCACTTCTAATTTTCAAAGAGTTGGCAACCTTGTTTTGTTTTAAAACCACTTGAGTATTGCACACTATTTTAAAGTAGATTAGACAAGTGTCCAAAAAGATAAAATTGAGTTAAACATTAAAAAAAGTATGTGGAAAATATAAGCTTTTAAGAAAGTTTTCCGAAAGAGACTCGTTACTTCAATTTAAGTAGATTTTGTAATAGAGTTGCCAGCTACGAAAGAAAAGCAAAACTTACGAAAAATACTCAGAATTGCAATTTAAGCACATATGAAAATAGAGCCATCTGCCATCTAAAAACGATTATATAAAAGTATTTTTGATTCAAAATTGCCACCTATTTATAAAAGCAGAACTGAGAAACATATTTAAAAATATTCAATATATAATATTGCTGTTACTTACATATTATATTGCTGAAGGAAAGCTGCTTCAAGTTAAGTATATTTTGGAACAGAGCTGCCAGCCATCAATAAAAATCAAACCGAAATAGACTCGGAATTTCAACTTAAGCACAATTTAGAACAAAGCCTGCCTGCTATTGAAAAAATAAAAATACTATTGGAAAGTATTCGATGATACTTGTATATGAAAGCAGAACTAAGAAATACCAATAAATCAAAAAATATATTCAAAAATTATTATATTTAAAATATATTTCTGCTACCTAGTAACGTTATGAGAACACAATTTTTCAAAAAATGTATGGTTTTTGAAAAATATATAAATTTGCCTACATAAAAGTCACTCAGCTAAGATAACAGCAATACGTATAAATAGTAGCAAAAGAAATTTTGAACAACGTTAGGGTTAAAATTCAGCAATATATATGCTAACTACACTGCTGGCATATCCGAAGCCAATTCATGTGCACACAATTGCATTCGAAAAACACTTCTGATTATTGCCAATGCATGCAAATTAAAGTTACTAAAAAAGTGCAGAATGTTTTTCAAACATTATACAAAGCAATATTGGTTGCATAAATAATTAAAAATTCCGATTATACAAGTATATAGCTGAAGGTTAGCTGCAAGCTATTAGCCTCTGAAAAATTCTGCGAGCTGCTGCGCGCTCATAGCAATTTTTCAACATTTCAACTTTTTTCGTTGCTTTTATTGATGTTATCAGCATTTTTTGAATTGCTGTCATTTTATTAATGAAATTGTTTGTCTAATGGAAACTGATATGTGCTTTTATACGAATGTATGTATGTACTAAACATGATTTTCAATCAGTCTATTTTGCATTTATTGATGGTTATGAATATTTAATTTACTTAATTAAGATCACTATTTATTTAGTTTTTATCAACACAGTTATTTAAGGAAACCTATCTGTTTTTTTCTTCTTGTATATATACTCATATATTTATATTTCTATGTGTGTTGATTTCTGACAATATTGAGGTTATTATATAAATATTCTTCATTCAATTGAGAAGTTTATTAAACCGTAACACAGTGTCAATAAAAATGTAATGTTATTTATCACAAGACCTTTTCCCCTTGCTCTGAATGCTAGTGGTGAACGACCTGTTGAAGAAACTCGAGGAATGAGGCTGCAGGTGGATGCCTAGGCAGACAATATAGCTCTTTTGGTAAATTTTGGTTACAAAAAATTCGTAAACACCGTTTACGATCTAATCCAAGGTCATCTAAATGCGGTAAGCAAGTGGGCAGAGAGAAATGAATTAGCCCTTAATCCAAATAATACTGAGCTAATTTTATTTACTAGGAGATACAAAATTCTAATGTTTCACTCCACATATTGGGTGGCTCTATTCTTCAACCGATGAAGAGGTTGAACTACTTGATGTTTGTCCTTGTTCTCATGGAAACCAAATATTACGAAGTGAGTAAGGATGTCATCGGTCGCCTTACACTATTGTGGATGAGCAATTCGGAACAGATTAGGTCTCTCAACAAAAGTGCTGTTCTGGCTTTATGAAACTGCGGTTAAGCCAATAATATTTTAGGAGATCGTTGTCTGTTTGAGGGCACTCGGAAAAGTCCCACTAGTTAAGCAGCTAGAGCGTGTTCAAAGTGCTGCCCTAATCGTCATCTATGGTGCACTAAAGACAACACCAAAAATGGCTCTCAATGCTATTCTACACGTCGCACCTGTAGACATTGCTGGTAGGTGCTTGGCGACAAAGGTTGCTATTAAACTCAGGGAAGCTGGGTATATTCTCCACTGCTTCGATTTGATTCCTTACTGCATCGCAAAATCTTCTCCCAGCGATTCCTTCGCGACACAAACACCTCCGAGAGATTTGTGGGCAGGGCAAAGCAATTGGAGAAGAGGTGCACTGCTTGCGTGCTTTTTAACGGCTGAATCGATATTAAAAGGTAGAGTAGCGTAGTCTTCTATCAAAGCTCCCGACATCAATTCTAGTTTCAGACTACCAGACCACTGTAGCATATTTTAAACGAAGGTGGCTGCCCTCAAGTTAGCAGTAGATGTACTGCACGGAAGTACAGCTTCCTTCAGAGAATGAAGCCAATAGCCAAGCGGCTATACTGGCTTTGAATTCGCTGACTGTGCACTCAAAACTAGTCAAGAGATGTATGACCTCAATAGCAATAGCTTTAAGCTTCTTCCACAATAGCTTTGTATGGGTGCCCGGTCACAGTGGAATCGCCGGAAACTGCAAAGCTGATAAGCTTGCTCAGGAGGGCTCCCAATTTTATCCGATTACAGATTGAAGCCTTTGGATCAAAATTTATATATATTTACACAAGTGTGCAAAACAAACACTTGCTTTGCTCATATTGAAATCTACATGCCACAGTTCATAAAGACAAATTAAATTAAATTTTCAATGAATTTGTAATCAAACCCTTTTAGGTAATTGTTTGAAATCAAGCAACCAATTGTCTCATACATTTGTATTATATTTGTACATATGTATGTACATATATTTTAAAGTACAAACGCACGCTCGAAGCATTTTCGGAGAAACTGTCAAATGTTACTTGTACTCAATAATCGCTCATTGTCACACAAACACACACACACACACATTGTCATAATTGTGACAGCTGTCACAAATAAATCAACTGACCGCAATATAACCGAGTCACAGTGTTTGATTAGTGCCAATTAAATATTTAATTACTATGTAAAAATGGAGGCTTCATAACTCATACACTCACAACGCGAAACAGCTGTAATAATAATAATTATAATAATAACATTGAAGCATACATACAAACAGTAACTCGTATGTATGTTAATATATGCCTCCCTATACTATACATATAAAAAAGTATGTATTTTGAGTTGGCAAATATTGACTGACAACTTAATTTTTGGGTTTACATTTTCACAAATTTTACTAAAATTAGTTTTTCGAAAATGTAAATAATGTTTATTTAAGCCAAGCTTAGTGTTTTTATGGCCAAGTGTTTTATTTAAGCGGCCCTTTGGTGCAGTGGATAGCACATTGGACTTCTAATCCAAAGGTCGCGGGTTCGATCCCCGCAAGGGCTCAAGTTTTTTATTATCTCAAAAAAAATTCAAAAGAAAACATCACATAACAAATAAAAAAAACTTCACGCGAAACATATATTTTAAAATTAAAAATTTTCTTCGAAAGACTATTAAACATGGACAGAATGAGAGGTTTTTATAGAAAAATATTTGGAGTTAGCACATTATCGCTCGAAAGCAATTCGAAAACTTTAAGCAATATTTCAAAAAAATTTCCGCGGCTGAGCTTCATGGCACCCACCGAGCTCTACTTATATACAAATCTATAAATATACAACAAAGTCGGCTTAGTTACACCAATTATAACGCAGGTACGACTGGACCGATTCGATGGTCTCCGTTCGTACAAGGTACTTAAATACGAAAAAACGTTAACTTCGGATGCGCTGAAGCTATTTATTATTATACCCTTCACAGGTAAAAAAGTTTTCATACAAAAGCTTGATTTAAACGGTCAGTTGATATGGCAGCTTCAGCTATAGTGGTTCGATTTAAAAAATATTGAGAGAGAGTTTGTAGCGTTGCTAAAGATAATAACCTGTGCCAAATCTCGTGAAGATACCTTGACAAATAAAAAAGCTTTCCAAACAGGGACTTGAGTTTGATCGTACAGTTTTTATGGTATCTATATACTATAGTAGGCCGATCTAAACAATTTTTAAAAAAATTATAGCTTTGTTTTTCACATTCAATTTTGTGAATATATCTCGTCAACTTAAAAACTTAAGCCCTACAAGCTTTTGATTCCGTTGCCTTAAATAATAATCCAAGCAACAGAAAACTTCTAACAAACCGCTGAAAATCAACTCAAAATTACGTCGATAGATATTTTAGAAAATAATGCGAAATCACAGTTATATATAGGTTATATTTGTGGTAAAGCTTTTGTTTTCTTCATGATGAAAACTCCATCGCTGCCAGCGCTTATCTCCTGCTATCCTTAATGAATTAAAATTCATAAACCAAAAATAAAAAAAAAATATTATAAAAACTCCAATTAAAAGCAAAACCGCTTGAATCGTATCAAATATCAATTTGTTATAAAATCATTATGAGTAATATTTAGAGAAAGAAAAAACCACGCGATGCAAAACAAAACAACTGAGAAGACGACTACAACTCATCGAGTAGCGCATAAGAATCGGAAGAATACATAAAAACTGGATTAATTAAAAGTTGAATTGTTATTGTTATAACATAACTTTCAGAACGAGCATGACATCCGCTAAACGAGATGAGCGGAAGAAGCGAAGTGAGTGAGAGATACAGCGGCATGGTAACATCAAACCATCAACTACAAAATATAACCTCACAATATTTTCATCATTTTATTTTGTTGCTTTTCAGTTACTCAAAAAACAACAACAACAAAAATCAGCAGCATTTATTTTCCCACAAACATTGCTGACGCCTTCAGCGGCCTTCTGCCATTTGGCTAATTAGAAATGGCCGTACACAAACGAGCGGCAATAAGAAAAACACCGAAACACTGAAACGCTAACCAGAGCCAAAATTTACAAATGCACAACCGCAAGTGTGGCAAGTTGTTGTTGTTGGCGCGCTGTCCATGTTGCCGACTGAATGAATGAAGTTGAAGAAACTTGCCAACCTTAAATTGCAATTATCGCAATATGCATTGCCAAGAGGAGGTCGGCAAAAAAACAAACGCACACACATATACACAAGCAAATAGCGAGGAATAGTGCGAAACGAAAGTAAAAAGAGTGAGAAAAAGGCAGAATCTGTTTTTTCCTCAACTTAATGATAATCGTGTATTCTCTTTTTTGTCTTTTTGTATCTTTTTTTTTTTGTGTTGCTCTTGCTTGTAGTCGCTGCTTATATACTAGTTAGCTGGTGTTAGTTGTGGGCGTTGTAACGCCTTACACTCGTATATTTATCTAGAATTACATAACTCACCGCTAACAAGTCGAGCAACAACGCGCGTTTGACATTTGCTCGTCTGCTGATGCTGCAAAGTGTAATTAGTAATTCATTGCAAATACTAGAAGCGCATGAATAATTCAAATGCAGTGTTGGGAAATGGCCAATAAGTTTGCCAAAGCATGCAAATAACTGTAAATGTGGGTAATTAAAAATATGCGAAGAATATTGAGAAACTTCGCTTATAAGCTTGAAGTTTAAATGTCTTTAGAATGCTGCATCGGAATTTAGACACTACTTATAGCAGAAAAAATTGTTTGACTTGTATGAGAATACCGTTTTTATACACTGAACAGAGTATATTAAGTTTGCCACGAAGTTTGTAATACCCAGTCCCACAGTTTTTGAGATAACGATTTGAAATTTTGCAAACCTCATTCTCCCACCAAGAAGCTGCTCATTTGTCGGTATGGTTGATATCGGACCAATATAGCACATAGCTGCCATACAACCTGAGCGATCAAAATTAAGTCCTTGTATAAAAAACTTGTTGATTTGACAAGATAGTTGCACACAATTTCGCACGGATTACTGCCTAACACAACGCCATTGTTCAGAGATTATAGATTAGATAATTATATTATTATGCATATCTTACCACTATAAAATATAGCTGCCATACAAACTGACCGATAAAAATCAATATAAACGTATTTTATCCCGCTTTATGCTATAAAAAATACATCTGTGAAGGATATTCTATTGAAGCTTTGGTGCAACCGAAGTTAACATCCTTCCTTTTTTTATTTTCGTGCCACCAAAAATATGTAGGTAGCAAAAACTGCCGAAAATCACTTTCGAAAGCTTTATTTTTACCATTTACCTCAAACTTTAAATTTTTTAAATTCTTTTGCCACTCATTTATAATTTATATTCGTTTGTTGCCAAATGCTTGGTAGTGAGTAGTCCAGTTTCTTCTATACATCATTGTGAAGCTGTTCCACAATGCGCATAAAAATTGGCGCTCAGTCCAAAAGCATACTTGGCACCCAGCACTTAACACAATTACACACATACAAATGTCGTAGCATAACATTAGGCGCAAAGCGTGTTGAAATAATTAATTCATTCTTGCAAAACAAATCCGCTAGGATTAGCCTTCACACTGCCATCCTAACAAGCACACACACACAGACACACAAAGAGTTGAGTAGCCAACAGAGTGAGAGCGGCTGTCTGCTGCCAAGCGCAGAGGACAAGCCAAGATGGCGCGAGCCGTCCGTGCAGTTGTAGACCTGTGTGTGTGTGTGTGTGTAGGGAACAAATAAATTAAGCCTATTTAACGCTTTGAGCCATTTAAGCAACGCCACTTGTAATTGCAGAGCCTGGCGGCTAACAACTGACCGCATAAGTTGCAAACAAACACGTGTCTACATACAAATAAATAGTTATATATATCTATATATACTTGTAGGTAGAAGTATAAATGCATAGTAGTTATAAGTATAAATATATATAATATAGTATAAGTACAAATGAACTTGTGTGCTTCTATGCCACAAATATGTAAGTGTTGCCAATATGACCTAACGCTCTTGGTATCGCATATATTTCCATTACTGTATCTCATTACAACTAAATAAATATGATCACACACACACACACATAGATACACATATGTATAAAGTATTGCTGTTATATTTCACTACATTATATAAGTAACGCTATTTGAACTGTTTCTTTGCTCTCCGCTTTGTCTGATTGCAGGAATTTATATTCTCATTTTTATTATCGTCACGTTTATTTTTACGACCCCATGAGCTGCTTGGCAAATTATTATCCTCGGTACCTGATAGCGAGTCGTTAGAATCATTAGTCGCTTTATTGGCCGAGTGGACGCAAAAGTTTCCCTACGATTATCGCGACGAACGTATGATGGGCCATGTTAAACATATCGTTGCCAGGTAGGTGCTACAAATTACTTAAACTGCTTTTGCTAGCACATGAGTGTACATGAATATATTTACTCACAATTGATTTTTACTTTAATTACTGGTTGAGTATTTTTTTTTTTGTTTTTTTTTTTTTGGCTTATTAAGAGGTTAGTTACCAAAGTAACTGGCATTGCTTCACCAACAAAGGTTGAGTTACTCATTAAAATAAAGAGAGAGATAGAAGAAAGGAATTTTACTGGTTATGTAATTTAAAAAAAACTTCCAAAACATTTCTTTAATTTTTTATAAATCTTATCAAAATCGCTAATTCTCATACGATGTTTTGGGTATCTTTTTACCCTGAACAGGTGCAGTCCCTCAGTTTTTGAGATATCCACCTGAAGTTTTGCACACATTCGTTTCTCACCAAGAACCGGCTCATTTGTCGTAACGGTCGATATCTGACAATCATAGCATATTCCATCCATACAAACTGAGCGTTCAGCATAAAGTGCTTGTATGGAAAGCTTTGTCATTTGACGAGATATCTTCATAAAATTTGGCATGGATTGTTGTGCAAAGCAACGGTGTAGTCTCCGAATAAATTGTTTAGATCGAGTCACTATAGCATACAGCTGCCATACAAATTGACCGATGAAAGTTATTGTAAGGAATCTTTTATATCTGTGAAGCGTATTATAGCTTCGGTGCAACCGAAGTTAACTTGTTTATATTACTTCACTCATTTTCGTATGACTGCAAATAAGAGCGAAACTACTCACGTAATTTCAACCAAATTCAAACTTTTTTTTTCGATAATAAAAAAAAAATATATATTTCAAATATTTAATATTGAAGTTAAAAAATTGTTAAAAAATCATTAACTATAATATTTTATAACCGAAATTATATAGAAACGCTCACATATCGAATAATGTCTAAACCAAACTCAACTTACAAAATACTGCTTCTCATTTAAAGCACGCTCATTAAAGCAAAAGCACATTAATTGTACGATTTCGTCTGAACGATTGCCTCTATTACTTTCTCAAAGAGATTGACATTTACTTATGAGTCTAAGCCTTTCTAATAACTAGTCTCTAATACTAGTATTTGCCCTTTGACTTTTGGCAACTCAGTGAATTCGTAGATTCACCTTATTATATATTCCTAATTGTACTTACAATCAAGATTACATACATATATAATATATATATATATATATATATATATATATATTGGTGTTATATAATTTACATATATGTGCATTTGTTTGCCCTGCAGATGTTCCAATACAAATCTAGAAGGTGTAGTTTCCGAAATACTGAGTGCCTTGTTGAAACAATTGACTGACTTGGAGAGACATGAAGAAGATCTACGCGCTTGTCAAAGTACAACTGAGAAGGTAAGTAAGATATTTGTTGCATATACATATTATATATCGACGTTTTGTATGCGAAAACCACGGCTAAGAATACTTAATATATTTAACACTTGGTTTCACATTGGTGCTAAGTTTTTGTGAAACAAAAAAGTGTTAAAGGCCTTAACTCTTAGGTGCTATGGAAGAAAATGTTTTAAACTTACATAAACCGTGCTTATATCTCTGGCACTCAAAAAACGTAAAGAATTTAACCCTTAGTTTAATAGTGCAACCAACTTTCATGCTTACCAGTCGCGAATACATAATTTATTTCAGTTTTTCCTTCAAACATGTTGTTACTTCTTAAATACTTATGAATTTGAATTAAAATCTCCGATTTTGGAGGTCGGTTTTGACACCCAAAACATCCCTCACCTGTCCGTGGATCCGCTACGGTTACTCTTATTGATTAATATAAAAATAAAAATGAAATCTTAGTTGGTTTGCATTTTATAATCAGAGAACTGTGTCAAAGCGTATTTAGTGCTCTCTCGCTTTACTTTCGCCCTCACAAATATTCGTGACTCGTTTTATTTTTCCAACAGGGTTCTTTATATTATATTTACTCTGAACAAATAATCTCACATTCTAATTGAACATGTTTTGACATATTATTAAGGAACTCTACCTGATTAGCACGAATTGCGCCTTTGTACAACTATGTATGTATGTTACCTATGTATAGTAATACACACACATATATAAGTTAATTCTCAGCCATATTGTATCAACCAAATCTGTTTTCATGCCAATTAAGCAATCCACAGACAATGTAAATATGTTAAGCTATAAACTTACTAATGATATGCCCTTAATTGCTACATATTACTCTGTTCTAATGAAATTCAAAATCTATGAAAACTCCAATTATAATAATATTTTTAGTATTTACCAAAACAAGTTCTCACACAATTTTATTAAATTTAATTCCAGCCTGAACTCAACAAATTAGACTGCCCGACCGCTTCACAATACGCACAAATCCTCTGTCGGCTGGAGAAAAAGTTGGCAAAGCAAATTGGCCCCGAAGAGTTTCTGCAATGCAGCAGTAATGTGCTGCTCGACAAACAGGTGAAATATGAAAACAATGAATTATTATTATTTGCATTTACAAGTCTTTGTATTGAGAGGAATAAAAGTGGTTTATGAAAATTTGATACAAGCAACCATGACGAGGCAGTATGCCTTCCTTACACGTTTCACAAAATACCATATGCCTTTATATGCAGTAGCTTTTCTATACTAAGCTGCAGAATTTATATTTGTTTGTGTATTTGCAATATTTTTTGAACGCGCTTGAGCAACTCTAGCTGCCTGGATATACAGTATTTTATTCGAACTGACTATGATTTATGTTAAACATATAAATGTAAAAAAGCAATGACTACATACCCTGCAATGAAATATCGAAACAAGTCAGAACTTTCGACTAAAATCGGACTCGTCAGAAAAGAAAAAAACATAAAAGAGTAAAAAAAACATCCAAATAAAATTTTCTCTGAAAGCTCTTTAACCAGATACAATAGTTTAGTATTTATTTTGAGCTAGCACGAAAATGTTGTTTTACTGATTAAAATCTGGCAATTGATAACTCGTCGAATATCTAGACGCTTATCTAAGAAAAAATTTGAAAACAACATTTAGATAAGGTTAGATTAAAAGTTTGATTTGAATAGGGACCTCATTTAGACAACTTACAGTCGGTTCCTTCTAGTACCTAGAACTCCTGCAAAATTATTCATAAATTCCCTCATAAATCGACAAAACGCACACACAAATTTTTTGGATGGCAAACTCGGTTTGGCTATGTTTCCTGTTTCTCTAAAGGTATAACTGCCGACATGTTTCAACCTCAGTCTTGAAAAAGCTGGATAATGGAGGATAAAGTGCTTGCATGTTTCCACCTAACCTTCTTCCTTACAACTTTGACAGTTTGCCTATTGGAAAATGTGCTGTAAGAACTTCACGATAACAACGGGAATCGTGGTAGGTACTTAAAGTGGCTGCTACTTCTGCCTGAAAGACACTACTGTGGCCGAGTAACCTAAAGCTAATCTTAAGGTAGACATCTTTAGCTTCTACGCCGCAGTGGTTGCAGCATGACCCTTATTGGACACCTTCATATACCCACCTTCTCTGAGCCTTTGAGTGACTTTTGAAACAATGCACCTGCTGGCCATATCTATGTGTGTATTTTTGTAGAATGGTATTAGGTGCTACTGTTGGTGTAGACCGCAGTGCACCGCAGATGCTGATGAGAGCCGCTTTTGGGACACGTTCAAGCTTTTTAGTGAGTGTAGCCTCTTCGAGCGCCCTCTACCATACATATATGTATATTGCCAGTCCTGCCTTATACTGCGCCCAGTCGTCACTAGAGCAACTTCTACAGGCTTTGTTTAAGAATCTTCTGCTTGAAGATCTGATCTCTGTTAGCTTCGATGTCCACCAAAGCGGTTTCCGTTTACCATTCTGAGTTTTCAGAGGACAGGGGCTTTCAGGAGTAGTCTGAACAGCTGGACGATTAATGATTTTAACTTATTAAAAACTAACCGATTTCACTGCTTACAATAATAAAAATCTGTAAAGTTCCTATAACATACTTATACAAGTATGAGGTCTATCTTTAATTGCCAAAAGCTCAAGGGCCATGCAACTGGATTCAATAAATTTTTCAATTTCAACCATCAAAGTGCTTCAATTTATGCCGAAACCGACATTCTTCATGCAAATTTCACATGATGCATTGATTGAATTTTCTTACGGAAATTACTCATAGGCCAGAATATGTATTGTAGATAAAAAGCAAGAAAGAGAATTGTTAAGGAAGTTGTGCAAATGAGGTGGTCAAAAAGCTGTTATTGAAATAAATTCGAGTTCGTTCTAAATTGAAGCAAAATGTAAGTGAATGTTGAGAAAGAAATTGTTCATCTCTAAAAAACTTGTGCGAAGTTTCAAAAATGAAGAATTGATTCATATCACTAACAAATAGTGAAGCAAATAATTCAATATTTTGGGGTTATTTTAATTATAATTTTAAATTTATTTGCACCAACTTTCAAATAGTATACTCGTATATGTAATGGTTTTTAATATGAAAAGCTTTTTCCTAACAAAAATATAGTGCAAGGTCTGATATGGCCTTTCGAAGTTTGTCGCTAGATTAGAGCATGCTACTTTGTCTCCTTTTCATAGATCTTTGATAAAGAGAGTAAATTGCTGGATTGTAAACTCGTGCCAACTTTTTTACATAGCAATTTCGCCTACCCAACTCTTCAAGAATTGATTTATCGTCATCGGTTTTCATGTAACTTGTACGAAATTCTGCAAACCACTCACAAATATTCGCTTCGTCCAATGTAGAGCACTAAGAATAGCCATCAGCCAGTTTTTATACCCTAACCACCCAAGAAAACTTCCGAGACTCCATACAGTATATACATATACAAATGATCAGCGTGACGAGCTGTGTCGAGTTAGCCATGTTCGTCTGTATATACGCGAACTAGTCGCTCAGCTTTTAATATATTGGTCTGAAAATTCGCACACGTATTTTTCTCTCCAAGAAGCTGGTCATTTGTTAAAACAGCACATATCGGACACTATAACATATAGCTGCCATACAAACTGAACGATCGGAATCAAGTGCTTGTATGGAAAACTCTTTTATTTGATGGGGTAGCTTCACAACGCTAGACATGGCTTATTACTCAAAACAGCACTACAATCTCCGAAGAAATTATTGAGATCGGACTACGATAGCATACAACAGACTACAGTAATTGTATAAAAACTCCTTTTATTTGACAAGTTATCTTCAAGAAATTTTGCACAGATCATTACCCAAGGCATTGCTATCATTTCCGCATATATTGTTTAGTTTGTACTACTATAGCTTATAGCTGTCAACCAAATTGAGCAATCAAAAGTAGAATAAAGATATTTGTATACCCGAAAAAATACAACTGTGAAGGGTCCTATAGCTTGGGTGAAATCGAAGTTAACGTTTTTTCTTGTATATATTTTTTTTTTAAGCAAATTTTGTATTATTTTTCGAACAACCCATAATTGTGCGTAAATTTGCAATAGCCTACTGTATAATACAGTTACAAGTGCACCTTTCGTGTGTGGATAAACCCAATATTGTGTAAGCTTCTTTGCTGTATCCAGTTGCAAGCAGCCTATCATGTCTGTGTGTGTGTAAACGCACTATAATACACACATACATATATATATATGGACACACACAACATTGAAGCAAACGAAATTAATAACTCTTTTAGAATTTTCATCACAGCCAGTTGGCAACAAATTCATCTGTGCACGCGTATAGACATGTATTTTTGTAGGTGAGCGTATGGGTGTGTGTGTGATCTGGTGCAAACCAAATTTAATTAAAAGCGGCAGGGCAAATTTAAGACTGCTTGCGTAATTCGCATGTAATCAGAAATGCATTTTGGGCCCGACTGTGCTACAGTCAAGCTTTGAGTTTACTGTCGTTCTTATTTACCTTGGTTTGCGCACATGTATATATACATACGAGTGTGCATGTTTGAGTGTGCGTGTGTGTGTGTGTGAGCGTTGCGCATGCTTACTTATTTACATTTTATATATTTGTATTCGTTTGTAATCTGATTAAAGTGACGGCCTGCTTTCGCAATGCAAAAGATCTGTCCCAATGCACTTTTTAATTAAAAGAATTACAAATTTATTACCGTTCGTTGCCACTTCATTTAAATTCACACACAAACGCGGTGCGACGCGCAAACAAAGGTAAAAGGTGAGACCGCCAATTCGTAATGAAAGGCAGCTTTTGCTGTTTGCCATGCGGTCCAATGTCGTGCCTGTGGCTGCCTGCGTTGTGTGTGTGTGTGTGTAAATCCGTGTGTGGGGTTCAAGTGAGAATCAGCATCGACATTGGCTTCATTGGCCGCTCGGCAAGCAAGTCAGAGAGCGTGTAAAATAAACTTATTAGCAATTCTTCTTCTCATTGTATTCACCGACATTATCTCATATGTATCTCTTCTTGCACTTGTTCGCCTCAATACTAAATATATATATATATACATATAAGATATACATGTGTATGTGTTTATGAATTTTCATGCCTTGCTTTCTTTTTATCTTCTCGTTGGCGCGCAGAAAAAATGGGACCAACCGAGCACGTCGGGCGGCCCACCCGGTGTCCAGGATCCTAAGAAAACGTGCAATTTGGAGACCTACCTGGATTGGTCGGCACGTCTGCGCCTCTTCGTATGCAATGAAATATTACAGGTGAGTGACACGAACGTTACAAATGGCATGAAGCAGCAGTGTGCTTGCTAGTGTTGCCAAAATGTTTTCACATTTACGCTAAAATCAATATAACGGGATTACAGATTAATAGTTGATTTTGCCCTAAACAGAGATTGGACTTTTGCAGCATAACCTATTTGTTGTTTTGAAAATTTTCAGTGGTGAAATATTTTTCTAAAAAATTTTCATATGCTTTTTGAAAAGTTTGCGAAATTTGATATTTAAAGATAATTAGAAAAACTTTTTAGTAATTTATGAAAATATTTTTGCACAAAAGGAATTATTTTATAAAAAATTAAAGGCAAAAAATTATGCAAACAAGAAAAAACGTGAACTTCGGTCGCACCGAAGCTATAATACCATAAACAAATACGAAAAATTCTTTACACGAAGATCATTTTGATCGGTCTGTTTGTATGACAGCTATACTTGTATGCTATAGTAATCCGATATAAATAATTTCTTCGGGGATGGCAGAGTTGCTTTTGGTTATAATCTATGAAAAATTTCTTAAAGATATCTTGTCAAATGAAAAAGCTTTCTATATAAGCACTTGATTTTGAGCGTTCAGTTTGTATGGCAGCTATATGCTACAGTAGTCTGATAACGGCCGTACTGACAAATAAATAGCTACGTGGGAAGTAAAGGATGTGTACAAAATTTCAGAGCGATATCTCAAAAATTTAAGTACTTAATCTACCCAGTTCAGTGTATAGTTATATGCAAATCTCGAAGAAAAATTTACATATGGTTTACTAAACCATAAAATTAAATTAAAGTTACTTTTTGCTCATATACTCAGAATGTCTCAAAAGCTTTGAGCTGTCTTAACATGACACCAAAACAGCACTGAGAAATATAAAAGTTTCGGGATCACCACACACAACACAGAAATTTCTTCCACAGACGCGTGTATGTTTGCACATTTACATAAGTGAATGCGGTGAGTGGACACATACTTGTATTGTAGCCTGCTTAAAGGAGCAGGTATGATTGTGCACGTGTGTGCAAACAGAATCAATTGGGAATACAGGTAAATTAACTGTTTCTACAATTTCCGTGCTGTTGTAGCTGATGAATGGGCTTAACATGCTGGAAGAGTAGAATTTACGACGTCAGCAATGTGTTGATAGCAGGAAGGACACGAGTGGATTGAAGAAATTCACGGATACAAATATAAACTTCGCTTGAGAGCTTCAGAGATCAACGTTTGACTGTTGTGGACCAACACAAGCATCATCTTAAATGGAGTTTAAGTTAGCGATACGTTTACTACTTGCTCTTCAAAACCAGCTAAAACAAACTGTGTATGCGATTACTGTTAATAACACTGAGAGGCTTGTTCATAGACACATCAGAAGTATGTATATGTGAAAATAATTTAGCAAGTTTATCAAAACGAGCCTAGAATATAAGCTAGAGCAAAGTTTAAAGCAGCAACCAGCAGCAAGCCACAGCTCTGCATGAAGCCTCAGTTGTGCACAAAAGTGTTACCTAACCCCCAATTTCCAACAACTTCTTCACCACAAACGCCTTTATTCACAAATTTATATATTATATATTTAAACCCCATTCACCTACAATGCTTGGCAGCTGGCGAGTGCAAGCTATCAACAACGCCTTTCCGCCAATCTACTTCTCATTCACTGCACTCGCTTAATTTTCGGCGATATGTAATTTTCATTTTCATGAAATTTAAATCACATCAACGCCACTTCACAATCGCAATTCACTGCTGCAATTCAAGTCATAAATTCGGTCAGTCGGTTGCTTGTAACATGCCACAAGCTCCACAAGCTAGGCAATGCATATGCCTGTCAGGCAGCACATGCTCTTTCTCAATGCATACTGGGCTCTCATTACCACACTTCAGCAGTTTCCCGGCTCAGTCCGCGTCACTGCTGCTGCTGCTGCTGCTGCTGCTTCTTGCAACATACATACATATGTGTAACACATACGCTTCCTTTACTTTAGCGTATAACCCTATTTCTCTGCCCTGGTACCACATTAAACATTTCATATTCTGCTACTGGCCTTGTTGTAATGGAAAATTTAATTAAATCTGAGTACTACATGCGCGTTTACAGATGAACACACACGCGAACTTCTCACTTCAGTCACACATAGACACACACTCACACACATACACACACACGTACAATTGCGGCGTTAAACACTGGAAGCAGTTGGCAGTCTGTAGTAGCCCATGGTCCGTAGCTAGTAGTACCAACCTGCTCGCATCCTTTTTGCGCTGTGTTTACTCATCGCCGTAGCAAAAATACTTCGTCTCTCTGCATAAATATTTTGTATGCTAGCACACACGCACATATACATATGGTGCGAATTTTAGCTACTTAATATCCTTTAAGCTAAAATGGAGCAGCAAGTTGGAAGTGTGCGCGCGTGTGTGCATACTGGTGTATAAAATATGTCACTCGTCCGCTCAGATACATAATAATTCAATAAGGAAGCCAGTGTTTACAGACCTTTTTATTGTTTTTGCTCTTCTTAAAAGGAAGTGATATAAAGTGAGGTACCACACTGAAGAAAAAGCAAGGATTTACGCTTGAGCAAATGCAAATTAGAGTGCTGCAAGAAATATACGAGATCATAAAAGATCTTCAGTAAAGAGATTTATTTTGATTTTGAGCAGCCAGTTTGTATGGCAGCTATATGCTATAGTGGTCCGATCTCAACAATTTGTTCGGATTGTTATGGCGTTACCTGCGACAATAATCCGTGCAAATTTTCTTGAAGATATCTTGTCAAATATAATAAGGAATATATAATATTGAGGGTAAAATTTGTAGATTATAAAAAAAGAAAATTTTAGCAAAAAAAAATTTTTTTTACCATATTTAGAGGCCCACTTCCAGGGGGTTCCGTGAGTATTAAAACTATTATTCATTCGATAGATTTATTTTAGTAATGAGAGAACGAAGTTGTAATTGTCCACCTGCCTGAACAAGGAATCTCTTTAACACAATTCACAAGCTTATACAAATATTTCCTTAGCTTCGGCTTGCTAAATTTGCCCAAATAAACAGCAGCCACAGGCAAATATTAACGAATATATATATATATATATATATATGTGGTATATATATCTGTTTAGTATATTGTATATCAAGGAATGTAAATATGTTTGCACTGCCCTTCAAAGACGCGTACACAACTAAATAAGCCAAATTGAGTTGGAATGCGCTGTAAAACAAATTGAGAAATCAATACAGCCAAATTTGCAAATCATTTGAAATGCTGCGGGCAGATAGACGGCACTGAATATTGCATAACAATTCGCTAGCCATTTGCTGTGAGTGTAGACACTTAAGTGCAAAGATATGTACTAGTGCTTGTAAGCAACTTCACAGTCACGTATCGGCCTAGTATAGCGATAATACACAAAATGGGTATATATGTGCATATGTTCTTACATTTGCACCTAAATCAATTCTGCTGGCAACGCTCGGTAACGAGGGCATTGGCAATTTTGAGGGCACTGCAGTAATTAAGCTATTTACACCCTAGCGCTATATACATATGTGTGTACAATGTACATATCTGCTTGAGCTTGAGTTGGTGTGGCGCTAGCGCTGGCAATTTATTCGTCACCCTAACTAATAACCACAATCCCAATTAGTGAAAGTAATACCAACTACAAAGGGCAATGAAGGTTTGCCGACCATGCACCAAATATATCAAAATACGTATTTAATGTATTCTCAAGCACAGCACTAAAGCGGTGACTTTATGGAAGCTTCAGAGCAAACACTTGCAAAATAATTGCTTAAATTTTAATTTAAATTGAATTTATGTAATTTGCGAAGGGGCGATTGAAATAATTGGATTTTGAACTATAAATGCGAGTTAGATACATATATTTAGGAGTTGCAGTGTTTTTCTTTTTAAGTATCGAAAGTAATAACTTTCTTGCTCCGGTCCTCTCTCCTCCACTTTATTATGTCGACTATGATCTCTGATAGGCTAACTCCAGATCTGTATGATTACACAAGATTATTACGGAGTATCAAATGTTTGAATACACTATCACAGTTACAGAATTGTTCTACCGGAGGAATATTACTCAAAATATTTAATAAACTCAAAAAATAAAATATAGATAATATTTATTGAAAAAAAAATGTATTTTTAAACATGTGGTGTTCAAGAAAAAATTCAACACATACAATTTAATGTTACGACCCGAAATTTAACTTTGTTATAAAGAAAAGTTTTTGTCATTATGTTCTAAAAACGATTTCGAGCAAGTAACTGCGAATAAATTCCAACCTACAGAGCCAATATGCGCTCATTTTTGCAGCAATTCTCTTCCACGAAGTCAATCATTTCGAGCTCATCTGCGTACGCAAGCGACTTCATATAACTCCACAAAAAGAGTTCAGCGGCTTTAAATCGCACAATCTTAGAGGCCACGCCACAAGTCCATGAGGCGAGATAATGTGCTCACCAAAAATTTCCTTCAATAAATGGATGCTATCGTTGGCTGTATTTCATTTAGCGCCATCTGATTGAAACAAAAGCTCGTCCAGATCCAGATCTTCCAATTCAGACACGAAAAAATTATTAATCATGGCTTTATAGATTATGACCGGCCTCAATCAATGAATCCTCTTATCACTTTCTCTTCTATTGCCCGGGTTTTACCTGCCTGACATTGAAATATCTCGGTATACATACCTTTGCAGAACCTAGCGTAGTGACTGGGATTAATATTAAGCGCATTAATAAATTTGGTGTGAGCTCAAAACACTTCGTCGATCTATGAGATGATGCACTTTAAGATGTGTTTGGGTAACACAAAAGACGAATATATGTCCAAGTGAGATTTATCGATTATGGATCAACCTTACCTAACTTACCCTATGGCCCAACGATTTCCTCTGCCCATAGAGCAAACCAACTAGTGACTTTTTAAAGATCTAACTACGGTTTAACAATGGCTTGTAGGTTATTATCACTCCAAATGCGACAAGGTTTGGTACCTCAAGGTTTGGTACCTAATGGATTCCAAGTGCTATGTCGAGTTTGTCATATGGCAGGACACTAACAGATGTAGCGCATTTATTTATATTATATTTATAGCCCGAATAGGGTTTGTTAAGTTGCCACGATTTTTGTAATAACCAAAAGAAAATGTCGTTAACCTATAAAGTAAATATATATAAATAATGAATGAATATTATGATGCTATAATGATAAAGCTCAGTCGATTTAGCTGTCATACTACAAACTGAACGCTCGGCAACAAGCTCTTATATGGACAACTTTTTGAGTTGTCGAGATATCTTCACGAAATTCAGCATAGGTGATGCTCCAAAGCAACGGTGCAATCTTCGAAGAAATTTATCGAGTCACTAAAACATAAAGCTGCCATACAAACAGACCGATCGAAATCAACTTCGTGTACAGAAGTTTTTGTAGGGTATTATAGCTTCATTGCAAACGAAGTAAGCTTTTTTCTTGTTTTAATATACATTATCTTCAAACAAATACAATAAATACTAGTTTAACAACACTTCCGGGTTCGAAGAGAAATAATGTTTAGTGTTGCCATATTTAAAAATACAGTAAAGAGTAAAAGATTAGTTGTTAAAGTCAAAACATTGCTCAAACCTTAGTAATATAATGTGATAACTACAAAACCAAAAGAAATATTCAAATGTTTAATCAAACAATCTTTTTCATCTTTCTCTCTTTTTTTTCTCGCAGTGTATCGGCATACGCGATCGCAGTAAAACGGTTGAATTGTGGAGTGGCGTTGCGCAGTACTGTCTGCTCGTGGGCAATTACAATAGTGCCACAGCAATACTCGAGTCACTGGAGTCGCCGCCCATAGCGAGACTGAAAATAACGGTAAGTAAATAACCATTGAGAATACTGGTAAAACCAGTGCGCAACTAACAGCGCAACGGTTCAAAGCAAACTAATTGCCAACATGCTGTCAAGCGCACGTGCCATCAACACAAATTACAACGATAAATATGTATTTCAAATTCCAACGTAACAAATTTACACACGCAAATTTTATGCAAAAGCGACGTGACAACTATGCCGTTATAGATAGCTGCGCAAAAGGTCAACTTTATAGGCAGCTTCAACAATATATAACGGCAGTAAATATATATGCGGCATGATAAATGCGCGCACTTAAACGAATGAGACTGGCTTGCATTTAGTGTGCGTAATGGAAATTAGCGCTAATTCAAATGCATAATTTTCCATGCTGGTAACACTTACGCCCAATTTATGTGCGCGACAGTCGAAGTGAAAAATCGCATATTTTGCGTGCACGAGTTCATATTTATTAATGCCGCAGTAGCTTATGCCGACATGGCAAGCGGAGGTGAAAGCGCGCGCTGTTGTTGTATGCGTCAGTGCGTTGGCTGTGCAACATTTTCGGCGCATCTATTTAAATTATAACAGATTTCATTACCGCATAGCGAAAGAGCAACACACACATGCCACGCGCTTAGTTAGCTGCGGCAGTCGCCACGCTTGTTAGCTAGCGGAAAGGCATTATTAGGAATTTGCGTGGTGTGCCACTGCGCTGCTTTTTGCCCCCGTTGACTTTGTTATGCGTACGTGCGTAATTAAATTTCACAAAGTACACAACAGTCAAATTATTTTATAACAGTCCGCGTACTGCGCTCCCTACTGCCACAAGGTGAACACATGGCCTTCGCGCGTTAGAATTGCCACACCACTTACCACCACGCACACTAACCCCTGTGCTAACCTATTACTCATGGCAAATAAATATATTACGCAGGTAAGGCTGCGCAACAACAACCAAGCGGAAAGTGAAGCGCCTTTAAAACGCACACACACACATATACACATGCAAACATAAACAAATACTTATTTACATTTCGTGCGCCACTCAATATATTTATTTACCAGCGCTGCTTGCTACAATTTGCTGCTGCTGCTGCTGCTGCGTGAAAGCCTACACGTCGTATAAGCCAAAACACTTAAGTTGGTTGTTGTAACCTGAGATTTGCTGCAAAGGCACGCACTGCCACCGCCATAAAACGCCCTTTACGCCACACATAGGCGCAGTGACCGCGTCAGACATTAATAATTACCGTTTGTGCAGCGTTTGTGGCAATTTCCTTGCTTGCGCGCTCAGCGCCAACATTGCGTATACGCAACGCATATCGCCACTCATGCGAAAAGGTAAATGTGTATGCGTTACTTAACGGCCGGATTATATTTTAATAGTAAGTACGTGTGAAATTGTTGAAATAATAATTTGCTGTGCATTAAGTGCGCTTCCACGTAACGGCGCTGGCTTTAGACGCCACCTTGTTTACTTATGTAAAAATGCCTCACACCCGCGCATTGGCATGTATGCCGTGTGTGTGTGTGTGTGTGTGTGTGTGTGTATTAGCCAAGAGGCTTTCGTACTACATGTCAACAGCCATACACAAACAGTTTCTAGCGGATTTCATACGCAAATTGGTACAAGCTTTGAAGGTCGCTTTCAGTCATGGTCCATTGTAGATAATCATTGCTACAATGGGCGCCTTAATGTAGGCCATCTCTTTGTTATTTCCTTTTTCCATTTAAAGCTCAGGAAAATGCAGACACATTAAGGATTACGCTCTTATTATGAAAATGTGTAGCAAAACCATTTGCATAGCGTCTCACTGTAGGCATTGCCTTAATGCCTAATTGTTATCAAGCTAGAGAAAGAGTCTGTGAAAATTGTTATGAGTTGTATGTTCTACAGACTTTATAAATACTAAATATAATCCGAAGATAATTATGTTTTGATGAGTAGCAACTGTAATAAGATTTTTAAAGATTCTACTTTTTGAATTTTGGCAAATGTGGCTTGTGGGCTGATCACCGCATGCAATTATAAAATATACCATAGCTCCACAGTGGTTTGTTGCTCTTAGATTTCTGCATTCATTTTACAATTGCTTGGTAATGTATTCTAAACACCTTTAGCAGCTTATTTCATTTCTCTTTGTTAAGAATCCAATCTCGGCAGCGGTAGCTCTCCATTTATTGAATCAGAAGCTTTCTTCACTACTATTTTATGACCTCAAAAACTCAGTTTAACTTCAGAGTAGAGATTTGGGTTTCGAGATCAGAATATAGACACATGAAGTAGAATAGTAGATAATTAGGTAAAGTGGATGTCTGACGATGCACCTTGGCCTTTAAGATTCCCATTTGCAAACCACCAGGACTAAATTTCCCTAACTCCATTATGTCCTCTTTGAAACCACCCGTGCTTCTGATGAAGTTCATCAATACAAAAAGTTGTATCTATACAACCACCGAGACAGCGTCAAGAATCCCTCGACCGATAGTTGCGATTCTTTTTCTACAAAAAAATGTTATATTCACATAGAAGATGTTCTATAGTCTCTTCTTCTTCTACCTCCTGACAGCTTCCACAAGCGACATTGCATGGTGTTGCTAGTCTGTTGACGTGTCTGCCAATTTGACAGCGATCTGTTAACTCTCCTACTGGAGTTCTTTTGTCGCTCCTTTTGAATTTTAATAGTCGGTATATGCGGTCCCTATTCCATTCATGCCACGTTTGCCTGCTAGTTGAGCAAATTATAGCTTGACTCCACCGAGTCTCAGCTATATTTATAACATGTTTGTCAATTAAATATCTTTCTGCCAATTTTCGCCAATCTTTTCAATCTACATCGTGATCCTTTTAGTCCCTACATCAGATTTTGCTATCGGGTCCTCGATAAATCTACTTCCTACCGACTTTTTTCCAGGAGATTCGAACTCTTTTAATTATTTTTTATTATTTTTGTTGATTTTGTTCATATTTTTTACCCACGAATGTAGGGAAAAGTATGTCCGCTACGCAAGTAAGACTATATTATTACGGAGCGTGCCTGGTATCCGTAAGTTTCGTTGGAAACTGGGCTATTTATGGGCCTCAGCCAGGATGATCCTTGGCACGGGGTCGCATAACACCTCGATGCAGCCCTTTTTGTATTTCTGACGGTTCAATCATTAATCGATAAACTACAAATATTCTACAATACCAAGGCGTTAGCGCACGCTGATGTATTTGCAAATCCTTGAGGTTTCTCCTTCAAATCTAAATAACTTTAACCCCTTTTTAAGACCAAACGCCTCTTAAACCCAAATATTTGTGAGTGAAAATTATGCTAATTTACATTGCTGTGTTTCTGGTTTGTTCCTGAGAAGCTTTACTTTACCCAACGTTCCTGTGAAAGAGTTCAATGTTAGAAGAAAGACAACTACAAGAAACTGAAACTCTATAAGTTTTTATAAACAAAAAGTGAGAATATTCTACAAGTTTTATTTCAAATATTTAATTTGAAATTAGAGACCAATCGACATTAAATTTGCGTAATTAATATGGTATCAATTTCATTAACTCACATAATAAAGTCAAAGATATTAAACTGGCTTCGCAACAATTAATTAAAACAATTATGTTAAAATTAGTTTAGCCAAGAACTTACACCAGCTATCAATAAATTTATACTTCTATATTTAAACTAGTACTACTAATATTACACATTTTGCGTTCGAAGAATTAGCTTTTTCGATTTAATAACATTTCCGCTCCAATTCAAATGCACACAAACGATAGAATTTAAGTATCCGACACAAATACACACACGCACAAAACAACAAAGTGCACTTAAAGGGTTTCCAAGAACAAATACAACAGCTATATGAAAAATAGTATGCCCTTACATGTGTGTGTGTCGCCGAGAGAGCTGCCATCGACTTTGCCACAACTTACATCAAGAGCATACTAGCTGAGCGCACACTTCCAACACATATATATTTAAGTATATTTGTATCTACTGTATTCTATAGTAACATACATACACAGCAAATTTGTGTATGTGAAATTTACTACCACATACTTGCAATCCAAAGTGTTAGCTACTCGTACTGACAAAATATTGAGAAGAGCTGCGTCGTGAAAGAATTAAGTAAACGTATTAAATAGCAAGGAACTTACAAGCCCGAGCGCCAGTGGCTGTCAGCTTGCCACCCTAGCTGAACACGCAGTCTATTAGTGTGTCAGTCTGACAGCTAGACAGTCATCCTGACATAACAGCATACATTTTTACACGCTTCAACTAACCAACGAAACATATTTGCAGCTTGCAACACAACGTTGCAGTGCAATAAGGGTCTTCACTGCGTACAAAAGACATCAGCATTTGAACTTTTTTTGGTTTTTTTTTTAACTTTGAAGAAAAAATTTCATAAATGTATACTAAATTATTGTGCGATATTTAACTCTTAGAAGACTTGTAGCGATCTTTTAAATATTTAGTTTTATGTAACATTGGTTTTTATGCACGGATTGCGTAGATTAGATAGGTTTTGGACGTCTCAATGCAATTTGACTGAGATCAAAACAAGGCAACGAATTTAAAATATCCATCTTATAAATTTTCAAACTTGTGGAACGAGATGCATGAAATTACTTGTTATAACGGTATTTGCATAATTCAACCATATATTTTCAATAAAATGATACAGTCGATGAAAATCCACATCGAAAGACGTTGGTTCATTATATCCACCGCCAATGCTAGAAAAAGTCTGCGCTGTTACCCACTTTTTCCTCGAATGTCCCGACTTTGCTAGAACAAGGCTAAAATACTTTAAAACTTATGCTTTTAGACATACTGATAAAAAATCGGAAATATAAATATAGCATCAAAGCAGATTTGTAATAAGCTCAAGGAGATTTGTCGTTAAAATCCAACTACAAGAAATTTTAACTAGCTTTACAAAGGACTATATATAGCACACTAAGTATTATCAGCCTTCTAACCTCAAATAACGTAACCTAATCTAACCAAATTTACCTACAA